TAACTCTTACATGAGGGTTTTTTTTTGTGTCTGTCCCTTATGATCGGCCGAAGTTTAGTGATTTTTTTCTCTCTTAATTTCTGATGTTTTTAAAATCAAGTTATTCCATAGGATTATAATTTTGTTTTATCTTATAGTAAAACTAATGTTTTAAATCTGTATCATTAGTCAAGTTTAAATTTTAAACAGTTTTACAATTCAAGTAATCTTTGTTAATATTGAACCTATCATTGAACTCGCTATAACATATATTAACCATAACAAATTCATTATGCATAATTTGTACACTTTAGTCCATGAATGATTTAGTATAATTATAAAATCAAAATCAACATGTTTTATTAAATTTTAAAATGACTTTGTATATATGATTTTACATACCTATTGTATGCTGATTCAAGCCTATAAATTCATATCTTATCAACAGAGCTTGTACATACTGTTTTTTTCCATATTCATTTTCATTAAAATCAGAACTTTTGTCAATTAAAGTCATTACAGTAATATTTAAAGGAGTTAAATCACTAATACTTGAGACCTAGAAATTGACAAAAGTGGGTCACAACGCATATAATACTGTAGTATGAATGTATATAAACTGATTTACATTCAGTGGTTTCCGTTTTTACTCCAATTTCAAATCATCTATGTTCGGCGAAATAAGCCAGCAGTCTCGTGCGTGTGCAAATTTCTAGCGTCTGGTTATTCCAGTCTATATACGCCGTTTGATTTGATGCAATGTGTCTAGCCTCGTCTCTCGAATCTCTTGATACAACTGGGGCTGAAGCGCATTATGGTACACGATTCGTGTACAAATGGTAAAATGTTTTTGTCTTAAAGATTGGATATCAAAAGCCCATCTTTTTCTGGTAAGATCACAACATGAATGTTGATTTAATTTGACAAATAAATCTTGCTTCAATGTTGAAGATTTTGGATGTTATTAAGTTAGAGACTTAGCTACTTTAATGTTTAAATTTTGAACTACATGTATTAAAAATCTTAACTGTTTCTTTATATATCAGACATGTGCAGCATACATATTTATTTTAGTCTATTATGGTACATTTATTCTCAGTTGTTTGATGTTAATTATCAATGAATTAGTGTATGTGTAGTGTGTACATGTGTGTGTGAGTGTATGTAATATATATATGTGTTTATTTATGTATTTGATTTATTATTGTAATTTCATTATGTTTTGATTGTAATATTTATATCTGTTTGTATTTTTTTTTTTTTTTTTTGGAGAGTGGGGTTGCCTGCTCTATAATCCAATTATCTTTAATAAATAATGTTAAAAAAAATAATTTATTTTTAAAACAAACAAGGGGCATTTTAGCCAGTTGTTAGAACACAACCTGTATTATACCTATGCATTAATTTCAAAAAGTCATAATTTAGCAAACACAAATAACTGTCCACAAAACATCAGTTAATTGTTATTAAATTGTCAAACCTTATTAGGGGTGCTTTTGTGGGTATATTGATATTAAAAGGTATTTCCAACCTTCGGGGATTAAGCAGTGTATGGGGGGGGGGGGGAGTGCTGCCTTTGATTTATGCATAGTTATATTATTTGGATGCTACAGTGTCGAATTTATTAGAGATGAGGAAGGGTTGGGCTTAAGGGATCATTTCTAACCAGTTAAATGGTGAATTCGACAATGCAAAGTATGTATGTCTACACACGCAAAGACTACAGTAGGAAGAGAGCCTCTAATAAATTATAGCTTCACACACCTTGATTGATTTTGATATTTGGCAATTATCTATATTTATATTCGAGTATATATAGGCCTATATCATTGCTATCAAACAACATTTCCAACTCTTCTCAAATTATCTTAATACTCGGAGCTGTGGTGGGACGTTAAGCACGATGCATGCAAAAATTAATTCCACAGTGTCGTGTAGGCCTACTTTCTTAAGAATAATAAATTGATTCATCACATTTACACAGGCTACAAACAGCTTAAAATTTGTTGAGAGAGAACAAGCCCGTCAGGTATTGCCGACAGCGGCTTCACGGGGGTAAGAGGGGTAAAGCTTGTCTGGCATCGGGGAAAACTTTCCGTCTGATGGGGTGGAGGGTCCGAAAACACGGCACATGTGACATAATCGTCAAGTGGTAAGCAGCTGTCAGTTGGACACCTCTACCCAGTATGAGTCATCGCTGACCTAAATCTTTCACATTTATTCACTTATTACATTTTAGCCGACACCGGTAAATACCAGTTTTAATAGTGCGCACTTTCTTTTCATTAGAAATATGATTTACAACGAGTTTGGCTAAAAAAATCGAACTAATTATATTATAGCAAAACAACGACATTGATCTATTAAATTCTCCTTAAGGTCACGTGTATTTACTGTTATTCGCTATTTACTAGATTTTCATTGGCTGAAAGCTCGCCGTCTCACTACTTTTATTATTGCGAGGACAAAAAATGCTGTCGTTTAGATTATTGGTTTAAAACGTTTCTGGCACATAAATTGGAGTGTGGCAGTTTTGTTTACAATACATTAGGGTTATTTCTCGAGAAATAAATATTAAAACTTTCCACAGCGGTGAGTTGCAACGACTTTTGAAAACTAAGCTAGTTAGAACTTCCCAGTCCTCCGCCTACATGGTATGTGTGATGTGTTGATTTGCTTTGTCACAGATGAGACGAAATGAAAAAATGAAATGAAATGGGGTTTAACGTCCGTCTGCTCAGCTCCGACTGGGCTAATAAAGATGGGTATATCATGTCATACGATGTGCTATTGGGGAAAGTTTGCCCGATACCACAGTGCCAAGGCCAGGGGATCTTTACGTGCATGCCAATTTGATCATTTGTTTTCAAAGATTGGACGGAGAGGGCCAGGAATCAGATCTTCGGTTGAATTTTCCATAATGATTGAAACCCGATTAGATCCAGTTTAAAGAAAGTATTTACAGGCAACGACTTGCAAAAAGATATAAAATCAACGAACGACTCGAAAAGCTAACATTCGGCCTGATTTGGACGGTAAATCCCACCACTGTGCAAAAGGCAGAGTCCTTCCAGTGGTATGATGATAAAGTCGGAATTTAAAAATGGAACGATTTGACCAGACATCGTTTACTCAGACACATCTCTGACAGCCCTACTTGCGATTGTGTCCATGCCTTCGAAGACTCAGAACATTTTCTCTTTAAATTCAGGGGCAGAGCCACGCCCATTTTCGTTTTGTATACCTGTGTGTTGCCTATAGGCCACGATTCCTAATGGATCGACTTGGAACTTGGCATATTTATTCCTTATAGCCTAAGGACAAAAACTGCATGTCCCGACCCACAGGGGCAGTGCCACGCCCAATTTCTGTGTTTATCGTATACAGGCTGGAATTCTAAATTGATCATCTTGGAACTTGGCATATTTATTCCTTATAAAAAAGGATAACAACTATTTATTTTGGTGCATGTCCAGACCCCCAGGGGTGTGGTACCCCACCCACAATTTTGTTAATTTTTATCTGTAAATACTCTACAGGTTGCTATAATTAACAGATTTTGTTCAAATATCAGCATATCAATCATTTCAATAACAAGGTGGTACCTATTTATATTGTTCCATATCCAACCTCCCAGGGGCAGAGCCATGCCCAGTTTTTGTATCTATCATCTACAGGCTGCAATTCTGAATCTCCGAACTGTGCATATTTATTCCGTACACTAAAGACAGCAATTATATAATTTGGTGCATGACCACTATTTTGTTAATATTTAGTTGATATCAGAAAGAACACCTCGATAACCCGAAACCCGAAATGTCTAATAGTGTATTGCATCAATATGAAATATGAAGTGCATCTTTTATGACATATCATTAGTAATAGTATGCAGTATGTTCTTTTCTTCGTCGCCAAATATCTCGATGTGACTCACTGTCTCATTGATGTTATTTATTAATTCTTTTTGCAAACTCCAGTGGCGGATCCAATAATTTTTTCAGGAGGGGCTTTGCCAGGTTTCTGTTAAGGAAATTTGACAGTTGGCACTGCATGATGCCATCATCGTCTCCAAATTACGTAGGCATACATACACACTAAGCTTTTTAAAAAGAGAAATCCAACTATTATGAATTAGTAGGATCACATTGTGATTCGATTCCATATGTCTATATCATTATCTCGCGCTTTGAATGCCCATCCATCCCTGATGATAAAGGATAAAGCACCACACGACCGTGACACTTTTCTCATAAACGTGCCCCGCCTACATTAGCCCAGTCGGAGCAGGGCAGTAGGACGTTGAACCCCATTTCAATTCATTTCATAAAAGTGTTGTTTTACAATATTTATTTTATGTAGCAGGCGCCCCCCTCCCCGACGGATATCCGCCCGTGAACTCTTGTAGTCGGTATAACTGTCTTGAATCTTGAATCAATTCTCCGAGTACATTCCTGAAGAAACAAATTCTGCACTATTCGGAAATACGATCTGCAAGTACTTCATTCAGATTACTAATCTGGATCCACAATAACTGCTTAGAACTAAGTACATATATGATATACTCCTCAGCGCCTGGGAGATCCCCCTTAGGATGTTATCTCGTCACTGGGGCCTGGCAGCTAGGCTGCCTCGAAGCCCGGCGACCTCATGATCCGTCACTGCACACACATAGATAAGAAAAAGGTTGGTCTTTTTCGAATTAAAAAGGCATTACCTTATTCAAGAAGAAATTAAATGTTATTTGGTTTGCACAATATATCCAAAACAACCCTAGATTGGCTTAGTTATCGACAATCTAAGCACTAAACTCTTTGAAAACCACCATGCGAGTTTATGAGCGTTTTGATACTAAACATAAAATTAATGTTTTTGGTCTCGACTTTAAAGGGAGTTATCCCCCTTTTATTCAAATTGCAATAATTATATTCGAATTTGAGAAAAGCGCAGATGCCATTGTTGCTGCAACAATGGCATCTGCGCTTTTCTCAAATTCGAATATATGGATTTTTTCGTTATTTGCAGCATATAACATGGGCGTGATCCCAGTAAGCTGGCGAGTACAGATACTAATGCGCAAATTGATTGGATATTTTGCGGCACTTCTTACTATCATCATTTTTTTATTATTCCGTACAGAAAAGGATAATGTTGTGGACACAATCTGCGGAGCTTTCACATTGTCAAGGGGGGCTGGGATGGGGTAAATAATTCATAAACAGAAGTCTTATGGAATTTTCACAGGTTTATCAGTAATATCTGTGCAATGAAACTGATGTCAGAAGATTTTAGTCAGTTTACAGTGTTCGTTGATTCAAGGCTGGGGCGGTTCAGATTGGAGTTCGGGTATAGAGTGGCCGTGTTATGTGTGCGCTTTAGATTATAAGGTATGTCATTGTGGTTTAGATCATAAGGTGTGTTATTGAGCTTTTGACTAGAAGGTGTGTCTTTGCGTGAAGTGCTTGTCGTGGCTTAGATCCCAGGCTTGTGCGTAAAAAGTGGGTTTCTCTCCCCCCCACCCCTAGGAAAGAATAATGTGTTTGAAGTCAATAAGTGAGATGTGTCGATGTTTTCTGATTTTAGTGAGAAGCCCATCTGATGATGATACCCCGTCGTATATTTAACCGTATTCTAATATTACCTATCCATTATTAATACAATATACACTATATATATAATTCATAAAGGTAATGAGTACCGTGAGAGCTGTATCTACATATTATATTGATATTGTTGGCGACAACAGATGTTCGCTGTAAACTCCTAGCGGTCGATACACAGACCTGATCTTCGCACAGGCGACACGAACAGGACAACAGGCCATATGGGACTGTTTACATAGCTTCGCTTTGATTTCTGGTCCATAATAGTTAGGAATTATTGAATTGGAAATGACCCGTAAAACATACGGTAAGTCCCACTTCAGTCAATTAAATATGGGTAAAAGTGACCGGAAGTCGGCTTCACTTTTGGTCGATGGTGATGATCAGGTGTATGAAATTGTATTGATAACGGGATTGTTATTAAACTGGGTGTGTTCTGAATCACCGAGAAAACTATATAGTTCATTAATCATATCCTTAACAGCTGTAATTTTAACCCAATTACCGTAGCAATCTTTTATACTTTGAACTCATTACCCGCTCACATTGTTTTTTTTACTGGTATTGATTTGGCCAATCTCAATCTCTTACAAAACGCCACAGCTAAGATAACTGTAGATCCCCCCCCCCCCCCCCAATAAAAAAGAGATAGAAATGGGGTTTAACGTCCACTCGACAAAAACTAGATAATTTCTAGACTATCACATGGTTCAATTTTATTTCAACAATCGGTTTTCGCGTAGGGGACTTTAGCAGTGGGGGGGGGGGGTAACTGGAGGACTCGGAAAAAACCCAACGAGATTGGACAGGTGACCCTACTCCTTGTCACGTACAACCGAGGAATCGAAACCGCGCCAGTTGACTCAATGACAGACCGTATTATACAGCGGGCACGAGCTAACCATAGAAAAAGTCCCTGCATTACTATGTTTTTATTAAGTATAGAATCCCTTTAATCACTTGATTTGGGTTCTTATTAACACTAAAACAAACTACAAAAGGGTATCGTTGTTTTTCTCATACCATCACACCACTATTAACCTCTCCGTGAAACGTTGCAATGTTATCATTTCTATACGCAATTGAATTCGTCGCTTCAAACACCATTTGTTGTTCCAGGTTAGCAAGCGATCAAGCGATAAAGCCAAAGTTATAATAAAACAGGTCGTATTGGCAAAACCCGCGATATCAAAGAACAATCACGATATAAAAGTAATCAGTGATACCATACTCATTAAATATTGATAATTGAGTTTTTACCTTAATATTGCACGTAAAGAGGACACGAGTTTGATTTCAAATGTATGTTATTCTATACAACCTGGAGCTAACACATTTATCTTTGAAAATCAAGTTACATGTAATAACAAAGTATTGACATGTGAGTATCGAAATGTAGACAAATGTCATTTAGAGCAGCTTCCTTTAAGGTTATAGCGAAATGTAGGAGAATGTCATTAAGAGCCGCTTAAAGCGAAATCTAGAAGAGTGTCATTGGGAGCAGCCCTCTTTGAGGTTTAGCGAAAAGTAGGAGAATGTCATTAAGAGCAGCGTATATCGAAATCTAGAAGAGTGTCATTGGGAGCAGCTCTCTTTAAGGTTATAGCGAAAAGTAGGAGAATGTCATTAAGAGCAGCTTATAGCGAAATCTAGAAGAGTGTCATTGAGAGCAGCTCTCTTTAAGGTTATAGCGAATGTAGGAGAATGTCATTAAGAGCAGCTTATAGCGAAATGTAGGAGAGTGTCATTGAGAGCAGCTTACTATAAGGTTATAGCGAAATGTCATTAAGGGCATCTTACTTTAAGGTTATAGTGATATGGAGCCATTTTTCAGAGACATTTGAACAAGTGAAATAGTGTGGAAAGTGTCCAGATTTATTAACCTATCTAGATGAATACATTTATAACTGCCAAATCTGTAAAATAAACATGCAGTTTTCCCAAAATGTGCAGTGAAAAACTTGAGATGTGCAGTGATCAACTTGAAATGTGTAGTGATCAACTTGAAATGAACTTTAAAATGTACAGTGATCAACTTGAAATGGACTTTGTAATGAACTCTAATAAAATGTACAGTGATCAGCGAAACCGTCATTTTTTGGAAACTCTCATTTCGGTAGAATTGTTGGGTGTTTGTACCATTACGCTAATTTGCCGCTATTAAGATCTACAAACAAAAATTACATCTCCCCACCCAACGCACAATGTGACTACACGCTGTCTTCTGTATTTGTTTAATTACCTATATTAGCCAAGTGCTGTTTGTATATACTCCGTATATTAGAATTGCATATTACTGCATACATGTAAGTAATATGAATATTTAGGGTTGTTATTCATGGCTCCTGTATACTGAAAACGAATGGCGGACATGCGGTAAGGAAATCAGTGCCGGACTGGGCCCACCTGTCCACCTGTCTGTGACAGGTGGGCCTAAGCTCATTAAAATAAAAGTGGGCCTAAGCCTATAAAGAAAAAAGAAAAAAGAGAAAGAAAAAAGAAAAGAGAAAGAAAGGAGAGGGGGGGGGAGAAAAGAAGGAAGGAGAGGACAGGACACAGGACAGGAGAAAGAAAAGATAGGAAAAAAATGACTGACAAACAACACAAAAAAAGAAGCATACTAGAATTCTCAAATTTATCTAATGATAGTGCTCTTAGGTCATTCTGTTATCTAATTGTATCAGGAAATCAAAAATTTGCCTTCTTCTGCTTTGGTCTGAAATGCTTGGAAAATGGGTTTGTGGTTGTCAATTTTCAAAATTTTCCCGTGGGGAGAACCCACCCAGACCCCTCTCGGACGCTCGCGCGCCTATGGCGTGGGCCTTGGTCAATGACCTGACGACAGGCGGGCATTTGGAACACCAGTCCGGCACTGAAGGAAATCAACAACGAAAACCGAATAGTTTTACTGGAATCTCCCTCCAAAAAAACATCGATATAGGAAAAGAATATTTTGTTAAACCGTGCTTGCGTCGTACAATATATGTGACTCCAGTTAAATTTATCAGAATAGATGGTTAACAAGGAAATATAAGAATGATTTTGAACACGCGTCTCCGAATTGGTTATAATTCAAAGACAGTTGTTGCAAGATGTCTTTGACTGAAACCAGAACTTAATACACGCAAATGAATACATATGTCCACGTGTGTGATTCGTGTGGATCTATTCCATTGTGTAAACAATCTAATACGTCTATGATGTAAACTGGAAACTTAAAAAACAGCCGTATATGACTGGATTATTTTTGTACAGATAATCCTACTTAACTGATTGTCGGCAAAAAACAATACTGTTAGGCTTGACTTTAGCTGGTTATATACCAAATAAACAGGGATAGCCGATTGACTTAATTAGAAGTCGGGACATTTCTCGAGACATTAAACTTATGTTTACAATTTGTCCTCGGGCTGTACTAGATCAGTGACCAAAGTGAGTTACTCGTGTAAGGTGAAGGTAATAGCGCGTGGATCTTCCGGCGATCTATCATGTTTTATACGCTTTTGCATATCGCTAGAAAGGTTGGAACTTCATTTTAAAAAAAGGAAAGTGATTTCGAATAGTGCAGACTTTGAAAATAGACATAATATTTGATAGAAAATGTGAATCTGTCTCGTACAGTCTTAACAATGAAATCAGATCGGATAAAAACTGAAGACTTGTTTGTGAAATTATAACGGAATTTAGAAGAAATCGGTTTATAACGTTACCTTGCGTTACATTAATTGTTAAACATTACGGTGTTCCGAAAATAGGATTATACACTTAGTGTGGTTCTAACAATCTTAAATAATATTATGTCTTAACACCTTTAATGGTTCTAGCGAATCGACGCAACAATAAACCCGTAACAATCTAAATGCATTCTTCTGAAAGAAAATATATTACTATCGCGTGAATCAAGGTTCTCTCTATTGTGGCTGCCATCAACAGTACTGGCGGCTTCATTCAAAACTATTCAATATTACCCATACTTTTAATATCGGAGAGGTTGTTTTTAATAGTTATTTCCTTTTATTTGTTATTGCCAGTTGTTATTTGATAAACCATGTGCTGCTAATCCGCTGATATGAGAATAATACTTGGGGTGAATTAATAACGATTCCCAAGTCTACAAAAACTCGGATATCCAGTGTTTCTGAGGAATTTTTCTCTGCTGCTAACAGAGTATTGTAATATTGTTTTCGTGGAAACCAACAGTTGTTTGTTTCCGTTTTCATTGGAAGCTGTAAAATTATTAGTTATAGTGTTTTAAGATTCGGATAAAGCATCTGGAACTATTTGACCATTTCTTCATTTCTTCAGATTAGATATGGTGAGGTGATCTGTTATATAAATGGGTGGTTGTCTTGCACGTTCATCTTTTACAGTAAATAAGCAGACGACAGACAATGACTGTATCAGGTAAGTTAATTTATGTTCACATGTATTTAGCTAACCCTAAAATAGAGTTTAACGTTCTAGTTTTTCAGCACCAATTGGGCTAATGAATACAGGCTTATTTCATGCAGTGTGCTTGTTTAAACATCATGTTATTTCGAGTACAATATTATACAATATTGATATATTATAATGGATATGAAATCAGTCCGCAGTTTATTTAAATTAAGCTTCATGCATATAATTTAAACCTTTCAATACAAAAGTACCAGTATTTACAAATTTTAAACAAATAGCTTGTATAGCTTATAATTACATAATATAGAATAAAGCAGAAATGTGCTATGAGGGAAATTCCACCAACACGCCATGGAATTCCAAAATCAATGGTTCTTTTACGTACACGGGACCTGGGTTTATAGTACTATCCAAACAACTAGACACTGTTTCTGGTCAGACCTTTATTCCTGTGCCACTGAAAAGTAGAGCCCAGGCTAGGAACTTTCTCGGCCAACACTGGGATCGAATCCGGGACGTCATGTTTATTTAGCAATCACCTTACCCACTGAGCCACCCTGACTCCTAAGCCAACGATGTTAGTTCTGGTGGTAGAGATCATGCTTTATTATGGTGCTAGATGTTAAGTTTTTCAGTTTAGCGAGTGAAATATTTAAGATGTTAGTAAATGGAATATAAAACCCTAGACAAAGTCGTATTATTTTACATGTTACAAAATATCTAATTAACTACCGGAAATTGATAATACACGCTCCTTAGAGAACGGCTATTAGGAACTGGCGAAGTGAAGGAATTGCTGTCATTTGAAATCCAAATAAAGTGGTGAACGACTTATTTCATTTGATTCACAATTGTGATTGATGTGCTTTTCCCCTTTCGGGATTGTAATGTACTCAAATTGCAACAGTAAACAGAGATTTTTCTTGTCTTTGTTCTTGTCTTTACCCATGGGATAGAAACGTGGTGCCATCTTAATATAGTAATCACTAGTTTCTATAACAATGGCCAGAAACCAAGATTCTCCAGCATTGACATAATGGATATAAGGTTGTAATTAGGGCTAAGATTCAGTAATTGCTCCATAATATATTAAGCGGGAAGATGTCGAAGTGGCCGACATCCAGGGGCCTGTTTCACGAAATTTTAACTAAGATAAAATCCAAATTTTATTAATTTGATTGGATGATATTAGATTGATTTTAGTGCTTAGCCAATCAAAATTGAAGTATCTACTAAAATTTAGATTAAGATTTCGAGAAACAGGGCCCAGGGCGACCTAGTTTCAGACGCACCATAAACATGGGCAGTTTCCTGCATGACAATATGTAATAAAGCAGGTCAATAGTCTTTAAGTGGCATTTGGTGATTGAGAAACACATTAACACAATTATTGTGTTTGATAACTTAGCCACCGTGGTTCCCGAAACCAAAACATTTTCCTCGATTGAATATACCATCGAAATACACGTACATATGGCTAATATATAGACATATAGTTTCAAGTAATGACGGGTCGTACACGAGGTAGCACACGCTTTACCTGGTTTAATAAAATCATTTAAAAACAAACAGCCTTTTCTAAGAAGAATTGTGATCATTCGACTAATCCTTTCAGTATTTATTTTAAGCTATTGCTCGACTTTTGTGCACTATAATTATAATTTTTTTTATTAATTCGTTTGCTTAAAGCAGCAGTAGGTAAAATTAGATAAAGAGTTGAGATGGTCGATTGTCATTGCTACCATTGTTAGGATAATAAACTAAGGCTCGATGATCCATTTTTACAGTAACCGGTAACCGCATCGACCACAAAAAATATTTAATTCTACTTATATCGCAGCCATCCGGTGACATTGAGGATTAATTATGGCTAATAGGAATCCCAATTTGAACAGTTTATAATCTCATCCGAAAACGGGAATAGCTAAATTGTTCATTTTTATGATATTGCTTTAAAATTTCCAACCCAATAACACCACCCCTTTAAGTATTTTTCTCGCTGTGTTATTGGTCTATCTATTTTCCCATGAGAAGAGATTTGAAGACATTTATAAATCGGAGCCAAGGGAATGAAAACAGTAACTTGGACTATTTACCCAAGCCTTAGTACAGGTATGTGATTGCCCATTTTGGCCAGTCGTGGTTTGAGTAGGTGACGAATTTCTTACACAGGTGTCGACTAGATCAAAGACAAGTTATATCCAAAACACATATTGACAAGTTGACCACTTAGTTCTTCTAAAAGATTGTTTATTTCTTATTTAGAGAATTATGACTAAAACCCGTCAAGTTGACCTTGTTATCAACTCATTTTGAGCAAAGTTCGTTAGTATTATTAGACCTATGTTATGTATTTTATATCTTAACGTTTTTAACTTGTGGGAACCATGGTGGCTCATTGAGTAAGACGTTGGTTCGCTTACCTGGAGGTGGGTGGGGGTGGGGTGCACACTGTTATGTCCGTTTTCATTCGTCTAGTCGGAGCAGAACAGTAGGATCTTAAATCCTATTTCATATTTCATTTACCATTGAAAACTTACAGTGTATATCGACTCATCATGATTTAAAATTAAGAGACACGCTTGACAAGGGGAAGCCTATAGTAGCTCGGCTGGGACGAAAAACCGAATTCCCGTGTACTCGTACACATTGGCGTGCACGTAAAAGAACCATTGACAGTTGGAATTCGATATAAGAGTAGGCCGTAGCGCAGCTGTGTAGTTATCTCAATATCGGCTCTATTGGCCAGAAAAAAATTTAATGTAAACAAATAAAGAATTCATTAAACTTCACTTTCATCGATACTTATACTTATTACACAAATTAAAGAGGCCTGTAGTCATTTTTGAAATGAAATGAAATGAAATGGGGTTTAACGTCCTACTGTTTTGCACCTATACTGGGCTAATGAAGACGGGCATACGCCATACAGTGTGCTATGACGGAAATTTTGCCCGGGCAGCGGCACTATCGCCTACTTTTATATCGAATTCCAACTGCCAGGGGATCTTTTACGTGCATTCCAATATATACACGGGACCTCGGTTTTTCGTCTCATCCGAAGGACTAGACAGCTGTCCTTGTCAGGCCCTCCGTCCTGCATCACTGACAAGGGGAAACCACGCTGGAAAATCTGTATGAACTTTCTCGGCCAATGCAAGATCGAACACCCGACCAACAGGCTAGCGAGCCAGCGTCTTACCCACTTAGCCACGTGATTAGTAAATGTATGTAGCCGGCAAACGAATTAGTAGACCAATGAAAACAATCACATAAGAGCGTAAATGCCCGTCAATGGTTAATGAATTAGTAATATGCCTTACCAATGTGACACACTGATAGTATGTATACTATTTCCGAAACACCTCGTGACACTTGTCACCTGTCAGTTGGTAATTTATGTGGCAGATTCGTATAGTTAATAGCTTCAGTTTTATGTTGAATTTTGTTATGTGTTCTGTTTTACAAACGGTAACCTTTGACATCCGGTAAAAGACATGTCAAAACTAAGCAATCAGTCTTTATTCTTGTTTGAAAAATATGGAACGGATTTAATAAGGGGTAGACTTCCTTGGTAATGCAGCGAAAATGTTAGAATGTGAACTGCCTGCACGATAACCAATTCATAAAAACTGGTTCGAATATAGGCCTATCACTGAAGCAAGGAACAGCAGCTAGTCGTTCGGATGGTAGGAAAACCCGAGTTCCCGTGTACATATTGACGTGCACGTTAAAGAACACTTGGCAGTTGGGATTTGAAATAAGTGTAGGTCGTAAAACCGTTGCCCGGGCAAAATTAATTTCGCATATTACACCGTATAGCTTATGTTATTGACAAAAGGGGGCGATAATTTTACACCAACCATAAGATAAATGACAGTTACACGCGCCTGAGCGTTTTGACCATGATTAACACATACATGTATATAAGTACATATTCCTGATAAGTAATTTAATGCTTTATGTCCCTAAACGATTATAAAATCAATGAACCAGCATTACTATCTAGTGTTATGTATTGCTGTGGTTAATGCAAATAGTTTACAAAGTTGATTTAGTTCCACTTTGTGGGTTCCATTTAGGTTTATGGTAACTACGATATCAATCCCATGGATCGTTACATGAACCTTATAACCCACACCATGGTGAACATTTCTGCACCCAATGGGTTAACGAAGACTGGCATACACCATGAAGTATGCTATGAGAGGAATTCAAGATGTCAAGGTCCCTTCCGAAGGAACTCACAGGGGAAAGCAAAAATCGGGATCGTTAACGGACCTCCAGGTTAGTGAGCCAGCGCCTTTATCAATGAGCTACCGTAACTCCCCACATCATGGTTAAAATACGTTAGATATAAAGCCTGACAGGACGTACCATGTTCTATTATATATGTCCGGCGTGGTTCCCCCTTGTCAGTGATGCAGGACGGAGGGCCTGACAAGGACAGCTGTCTAGTCGTTCGGATGGGACGAAAAACCGAGGTCCCGTGTACATTTTGGCGTGCACGTAAAAGATACCTTGGCAGTTGGAATTCGATATAAGAGTAGGCCGTAGCACCGCTGCCCGGCCAAAATTTCCCTCATAGCACACTGTATGGCGTATGCCCGTCTTCATTAGCCCAGTTTAGGAGCAGAACATATGAAATATTCGGAAACAAATATAATCTCACTGTCACATGGTTAAAAATCTATTAAAAAAAATCTAATAGACATATGAAACAATCCAAACCTTGAACGTCATTTTCTCAGTTTCAAGTTTATGTTGGTTATCATGTTTATATGTGCAGCCACAGATTGATCGATAAATCGAGGAATTGGTAATCGGACAGTTCATTAACACCATTAATTAGCTTGTTATAGCAGTAGGCGTTCATCAAACTGAAGGATTTCGCGTACGCGGTTAGTTTTGCATGAAAACTAATAAGATTTTTACGGCTAAAAATCAAAAGAAAATATTCAAATTTTGCCAATAATTCCATAAACAACCGAGTCCTTAATTATGTC